CCAGTGTGAGCATCCAGTGGCTGGGGGCCGTGCCTCAGTGCACCGTTCGTGTGGAGATGTGAATGCCTGCTGCTTAAGATCTGTATAAAGTGCTGTGTGATTAAACCTTTTTTTTTTACTTGCATTTTCTTTGGTTTGGCTCATTACAATGTACAAAAAGAAGGTGGCACCATTAAACCTGCCTCTGCCATTCGTGTGGGCTCTGTCGCCTTTCTTCCCCTCCGGGCACCTTACCCCCTCCCCGGGGAAGGAGACCCGTTGGCGGGAGGCCCTGGCCCTGCCCTTGGTGCTGCGGTGCCTTCCGCGTTCCCAGGAGTCACCCAAGGGGCTCAGGTTTTGGAGGGTCAGTGTGCCTGCCCTGGGCAGGGCTGTGTTTGTTCTTCAAGAGCCCGTTTCAGCAACGTGGGCCACCTCCCAGGTGCTGGGAAGCTGGCATGGAAGCACCTGCCCGGGCCGTGAGCCAAAATGGCTGCCAGTTGGGAGACTGGCATCCGCCCCTCCCTGCTGCTTCCTTTTAACTGCTGCCCAACAGTGCTCACAAGGATGGGGCAGGGTAGGGCAGAGGAGGCTGCACAGCCTACAGCCCTCCGTGGAGGGATGACAGGCTCCTTTAAGAAGGGAACAGGTGCCTGCCCCTTTAGGTTCTGGTCCTTGTTTCCCCAATGCCTCTTCCTTGAGGCGTTTTCGCTTTCAGCGGAGACTGGCTGGCTGTGTGGTCCTCGGTAAGAATGGCACGCCGGCCCCGAGCCTGGCTTCCCACATGGGGTGTCTTGGGGCTGGGCCTTACTCCCTGCAAAGATACCTGGACCCGCTCTGGGCCTGTGCCCACCAGCACAATGACTGCCCAATCCAGGAGGCACCACTGGGCATCATTCACATTAAATACTAGAGTCCGACCGAGCAAGACCCCACTCCCTCCCCACCCCTCGGATCAGACCAGCAGGCTGGCGATGCCACTTTATTTGGATTTGATTCATGGGGTGGGGCTCCCAGAACAATAGGGTGGCCTCCACAGACAATGGGTAAACCCGCTGGGCTCCTGGCCCAGGGCCTCAGCCTGGCCTTTGGCGGGCAGAGAAAGTCCTTCTGAAGCACAGCCTCTACCCACAGGAGTCCTCCTCCCCCGCGGGAGCTGGGACAGGCCCTCCAGGCCTGGGGGAGGGAGGGCCCTGAGCTCAGATGACACTAAGTAGACAGTAAGGCACAGCCAGGCCAGGGGTCATATGAGATCTTCCGGAGGCGGCACATGCGGAGGCTGCTGGCTAGGTGGCGGCGGCTGCGGCTCCAGACGGGATGAAGGCTCACTGACCATCCAGATGTAGTTTGGGTGCACCTGGCCCTGCACCGCCTCGCTGACCATCAACTCCCCGTCCACAGCAAACATCCCCTTCCCATCCTTGGGCTCCAGGCGGAAGGCCACCACGGGCACATACACCAAGTAGGGACAGTCGCACTCCATGTGCCTGCCCTTCTCCATGGCCAGGAAGAGGCGCAGCAGCATGGCCCGAGACACGCCTGCCCGCACATAGAACAGGTGCATGGCGCCGGCCGCTCGGTGGCCCATGGGGGCCGCAAACATCTCGCTGCCCAGGTGCGAGTGCAGCAGCGCCAGCACCAGCACGAAGTCCTGCTCGGGCACCACAGTCCAGTGAGCGGGCACCGGCTCCTCCAGGGGCACGAGGTGGGTGTCCACAGGGCCCTGATGGTCCTGTCGGTCCAGGGCAGGGGAGGCGGGCACCTTGGAGGCCACCCGTTCTGCGGGGAGGTAGGCTAGCTGGCCCCGGTAGACCCGCAGGGCTGCCAGGCGCAGGAGGGTGCCCACAGTGAAGCGCATCTCCCCCAGGCGCCGAAACTTCTCACTTTCAATGTCCACGTCAGCAATGAAGCCCCAGGCCAGGCTGAGCACGGAGAAGACCCGCAGCCCCGACTCCATCCGCAGGGACAGCAGGTTCATGGGCGCCAGCCGCCGGCGACACAGCAGCAGCGTGCAGTTGTTCAGGAGGTCTTCGTTGGTCACCTGCTCGTAGCTGCGAGGGGAAAAGGACTCATGCATCCCTCTGCAGACCGCCTCCCAGGAAGTGGGAAGCGGGAAGAGGCAGCCACGAGAGGGCCCCAGAACTGCGGGTGGGCGCTCCAGCAAAGAGGGAAGGGAAGTTACCCTCGCAAATGAGATTTTCTAGAAAACCAGGCAGTGGACCCGCACTGAGGGGAAACTGAGGCCCACGCTGGCCCTGGGTTCTCACCCGGCATAATGGTTCACAGAAGCTGCCAGCGCATTGCCGGAACCGGCGGGGAGGCTACACAGGGGCTTCCGGATGGCGGTCTCCCAGTCAGGCCGCTCCATGAGCCCGTTCACCACCTGTGGGAACACAGCGGCCTGAGCCTGGCTCAGCCT